TATACATTTTCACAACAACCTTTCCGTGTAGGAGTTACTTTGTGTCAATATGTCGTTTCTACTAAATGATAAGCTATTGCGATCATCACCACCGAAGACAATATTGTACTGGTCCRGACTTGGGGCTATTCGCGAAAAGCATGTGATTCCCAAGCATTTGGAAAAAATCGCCAAAGACAAAGATCCACCATTTGCACAGATGGTTGAGTACTATTATCATTCAGCGGCTCAGCTTATGGAGCCGATGATGATAAAAGAACTGGAGAAGTATCCGTACATGAAGAAGGAACAGCGTGAACGACGTGTTTCGGCCATGCTACAATTGATTGGCTCAACCACCAATCTACTGGAAGTTACCTTCCCTATAATAAAAAGTGATGGTCGTTACGAGCTAATTACCGGCTATCGAGCACACCATACCAGGCATCGATTGCCACTCAAAGGAGGTAAGTTAATTGCCATAAAAAATAGGTAAGAATAAATTAGAACTAACAAGCAGTATGTTTCGCTAGAAAAGCTCACTTGTTCAAGAAGGCTGGCACTTTCTGAAATATATACAAATGTAGATATTTAAATTTTCTGCAGTCGAACCTTTAGTTATTTTGAATTATTATTATTATTWTTTTTTAATTCAAAGTCTTGGCATATTTGGTCTCATTTGATTTCTTTAAATGCTATTTTAATCCCTTATTTTTAGGTATACGTTTCGCCATGGACGTAGATGCCGATGAGATACGTGCTTTGGCTTACCTGATGGCGTTTAAGACGGCTTGCGTAAATGTGCCTTTCGGTGGTTCAAAGGGTGGCATACGGATCGATCCCAAAAAGTATACGGCACATGAGTTGCAAACGATTACTCGTCGCTATACAATGGAGCTGTTACGACGCAAYATGATAGGTCCTGGTATAGATGTACCGGCACCAGATGTGAATACCAGCGAACGCGAAATGAGTTGGTTGGTGGATCAGTATATTAAAACTTTTGGTAACTTTTAATATAAGAAAGCTCTTAATTAGACAAGTAATATATGTTATTTTGTTATCTGCCTCGTTAAGGCTACAACGATGTGAATGCTTTAGCCATCACGACGGGTAAGCCAGTAGCAATAGGCGGTATAAATGGTCGTACTGCCGCCACAGGACGAGGTCTGTTTAAGGCAGCTGAATGTTTTATTATGGATCAAGATTGGATGGATTTATTAGGCTGGAAAACTGGTTGGAAAGATAAAACAGTGATCGTGCAAGGTTTTGGTAATGTCGGTTCTTATGCATCTGTTTTCGTAGTAGAAGCTGGTGCCAAACTGATCGGTGTGCAAGAAATTGATGTATCACTTGTAAATGATAATGGCATAGATCCTAAGGTATGTGGTTTATTTGAAAAGTTAATATTTCTATGTTAACACTTGTCGAAATT